TTGAATATATTTCCAGGAGAAGTATTTGAAAAAATTCTGCTTTTTGTAACTGTTAAAGATCAGTACTCAGCATCACAAGTTTCAAAACAATGGCAAAGTTTTATTACTGAAAATGAATATCTATGGAGAAATCGTTGCTCAGTATTTGAAAATATAATAAATATGAAACCGAATAACATGACTTGGAAAGAGACATTTCAGAAAAATGTAAGCAAAGATAGAGTCCTAAAAAAATGGAAGCAAGGAAACTTTCGATGCATACAAAAATATGAAGAACAGTTAACAGACTTTATATGCAATCTAAATGTTGACATGTGGGGATACTTACTTGACCTAGAAGAGAGTTACAATCAATGTAAGGAAAACCTAAAAAATCTTTTTCGGCATAAAGTATAAAAGATATAAGATATTTTTAGCACATATTACTTTGCTAACATGAACTAAAGAAACAAAAGATTTTACAAAAACAATATTTATATATATATATGAATAATAGTTAAGGTATTTTTTATGTAATTATATTTTTATAAAATAATTTAACAATTTTAAATAAAAAAACATTAACAAAAAATATCACAAGTTTCAATAAAAATCATTATAGTTCTTTTGTCTATTTTTAAACCCCTTTCTTCCTCCTCTCTCAAATCATAATTTATCATATGCAGTTTTATCCTTTTCCTTTTTAAAATACATTTTATTCTGAAAATGTTTCTTGTTATTTTGTTTGTATAATTTGGAAAAAAAGTTTTTTACTATAGTTTATTCACTTAACATCTGAAAAAGTACTTTTTCACAATAGTTTATTCACTTTACATCTAAAAAAGTACTTTTTTACTATAGTTTATTCACTAAACATATAAAAAAAGTACTTTTTTACTATAGTTTATTCACTTAACATCTAAAAAAGTACTTTTTTACTATAGTTTATTTACTTAACATCTAAATAAACATCTACAATGATTCAAGTAAAAAAAGCCATTTTAACTAAAAAACAAAATCAAACCCCAAGTTGTTTTAAAACCTGTTATAGCCACACAAAAAAAATTTTTTTAATTGAAAGCTTGAATAACTTAAACGTCATGGAGAAATTTATTATATCCAATATAGATTAAGAGACTGTTCCTCCATATTACAAAGAAAAAGCATTGGAAGAGAACAATGTCATGGAGAAATTTATTATATCTTCTTATATTTATTATTTATTCTTATATCAATTTTGTATATTTATTTATTATTATATCAAAGAATAATGTCATGGAGAAATTTATTATATCCAATATAGATTAAGAGATTGTACCTCCATATCACAAAGAACAAGCATTGGAAAAATTTAAATTTTTGAATAGTTCGAGGTAGAGGGTGAAACTAAAAAGAAAAAAAGAGATGTATTACTTGGACAGAATCACAAGAAAATGTGGATGTCGTAATGACAGCTATAGACTAATGAAAAAGTACATATCATTGTGTTATTTTATGATTCATATTTATATTTCAATTTATTTTTAATAAATTATTATCTTGAAATATAATTTCTTATAAGTAAAACTGTTTATTTTAGGTTACGGTTAATGTGTTAAAGAGGTCAGAGTTTTCTAAACACTTGTGCAGAAATTATACCAGAAAGTTATCCAAACCGGAGGAATCTTTGTATTCTGATAGGTTTACAGTTAACTAAATGTAAAAGTTAACATGAGTTCATAGATTGAATCTTGTAAAAACATGAAGCGAAAGACAGGATTTCTTTTGTTTTTGTAACAGATTTTTAAATTAATTTTGGTAATATATGATCTGCAGAAATCTTTATCCACATTACTATATTAAGTTTCAATCACTCTGAAGATAAGATATGCAGGAGGAAGAAAATATGAGAAGACAAGATGAGAACTTTATAACAAATTTAAAAGTTTTTGCTAAAAAACATGAGTTAAATCATAAATTGTTTGGAATGTGGTTTTAAAGGAAATGCATGTCGCAAACTACTTCAACATTAAACTTTTTGAAGTTGTTATCCTTGGTAAAATACTTTATTGCTACATTTAGTATCATTATCAAAGGCAAAAGATAATTTGGTCAATGGTTGTTATGAAAAAGTCTCAAAATTTATCTGCAAATTTTAAAGACAATGCTTTAGGGTACAAACCTGTCTGAGCCTCTCAAAATACATATTAAACACGTTGAACAATGTTGAACACGTTGTACTTAACTAAAATCAGATAATGGATTAGGACTTGTATCTAAACAAGATGGAGAGTCAATTCATAGATAATTTTTTTAAAGTATTGGTCGCGGTATCAAATTAATATAACTACCAAAGTGTCGTTTGAGGAGCGTTTGATGAAAACTGTTACTTATAATTTTTCATTTCTATTTAAATTCATTTTTTTTTTAACATTCAATATAAAGTTATTTGTTAAAAAATGTTTAACTTCTTTTTAGTTCTAGTACACTTAGCATGTGCATGCTTGATTTAAACTATGCAGAGGTGTGGCGGTATTGTTCTTTGTAAATTTATAATAACTTTAAAAATATTGCAGCTTGTTAGAGTAAATTGATAACAACTTTATAAAAATTATAAAGTTGTACTTAACCATAAAAAAAATGAAAATACAGTTTTTGAATTAATAACTAAATCAAAAATTTATTAAAAACTTTGGAAAAGCACTTAGGATTTTATTTTAAACAGATTTGTAACGTAAACTTAAAATTCTATAGTTATCCGCAAACAATTTTGTTGAAATTTTGAACCGTTTTGAATTTATTAAAGGCCACTTTTTAATTGTTCTTCAAAATAACTTTCTGATGTTTGCTCGATCTTTTACCGCTTAGACAACGGTACCTGTATTTAAATTTTATTTTTTACAGCTTAGAAAACGATACCTGTATTTAAATTTTATTTTTTACAGCTTAGACAACAGTACCAGTATGTAAATTTTATTTTTTACAGCTTAGACAACGGTACCTGTATATAAATGTCCAATAAAAAAATATAGAAATACACATGTTCAGGAGCATTAAACCTGTATACAGTGTTTGGTATTAAAAAATAAACTTTTTTGTAACTGGAAATTTATAGAAATTCTTATGTCGCTTTTTTATTTATCTTGGTTAACTTTTAACATCGCTTAAATTAACCCATGAGGGCTGAATACTTCTGCTGAATAAATAGATTTCGTAATCTGACTATGTATACTACTATATTCACAAAACTCACAATACTTTTGCTCAATTATTTCATTAACTGGATCATCAAAAAGAAATTATCGTAATGCTGCAATTTTATGATTTTTTTTTTTTCATTGTTTTTTGTTTTGTTTTTGTTTTTTTGTTTAATTTATTTTAATATGTCCGTAGAACGAAGATGACAGCAACATCTTATCGACAAGCACAGTTTTTGTAAACGCAATATAAACTATAAACTTTTCTTTTTTACAATGATCTTTACAAAATAAATAATTAAACAGACAGGGGCTCATAGAAGATGAAGATGATAATACATCATTGCAATCTTTTCATTGAGACATTATATATATATATTTTCAATTAAATATTAATTAATTAAATACCCTAATGGACATAAAACTGCTGCGCTGATCAGTAAATCAAAAAAAGATTTTAAAAAATTGAAAATAGTTAAATCAAATAACTTCACATTTACTTAAGCATAAACAAATCTTAAATTTTAAAAATTTCTTTTTTGATTAGAAACTTAATTGAACTTAATGATTTTGCCATACATTTGAATCTTTTTTGATAAGTATTCCAGCAATGCTATATTCAGTATATTTATTAAAGTTTTGAGGCAGTTTATATGTATTACTTATATTTGCTCTTAGATAATAGTTTTCATTTATAATTATTTCGAATTTGTTATTAAAGTTTTCAGGAAAGAGATAATAGATATTTACTTCAAAAGCATCCATCATTTTCATATCTTTCAATATACGTTATATAAGTTTTATACATAGGTTTAGAGTGTTCACGTTTATTTTTAGAGTAAATGGTTCCCCACGCATATTTTTTTAAGCTATGAACTTTTAAGTTTTAATGGCTGCGTACATGACCATGATATATTTGCATAACTGATGAAGCGATGATCTATCATCTAATTAAATATTAGACCAATTAAAATGATTTTAGTGTTTAAAATGGGCAAAGAAAATAATATTTTCTGTTGATGCGTATTAAGAATTGTTTTGTTTTTTGTCGTTTTCTCAAAATCACTCGGACTTAGCGCGTTTTGCAAATGGCCTCCTTATATATGAACGTCTTTAAACGGAAAGGAACCAAGAGCCATCTGTATGGTTTTGAGAAAATGGTTTTCTTTTTAATTGGTAGAATGAAAAACGATCAAAAAATTTAGGAAAGTGTATCAACTTCTTTTTTTTTTTCAAATATGGACACAGCAAAAACATTCAAACCTAAAAAAATGCAAATACATATATATATATATATATATATATATATATGTATATATATATATATATATATATATATATATATATATATATATATATATATATATATATATATATATATATATATATATATATATATAAATATATATATATATATATATATATATATATATATATATATATATATATATGTATATATATGTGTGTGTGTGTGTGTGTGTGTGTGTGTGTGTCAATGTTAACCGGTGTAATTCCGAATATTCTGAAAACCGCATATGTATGTCCGATTTTCAAGAAAGGTAACCCCTCCTTATCTACGAACTACATACCTATTTCAATGACTTGTATTAGTTGCAAAGTTATGGAGTCAATTATTGATAATAGTTTAAAAAGGTACCTTCAACTTAATAACTTTATCTCTATTTACCAATTTGGGTTCTTAAAGCGTAGATCTACATGTACACAGATGCTAGCTTCTTTTAATGAATGGACCTCAGCTGTTAACAAGAAAAAGGAAGTTGATATTATCTATATTGACTTCAAAAAGGCATTCGACTCTGTATCGCATTCTAAGTTAGTGTGCAAAATGAATTGTTACGGCATTAAGTACGAACTTCTAAATTGGATTACCAACTTTTTAACTGACCAATCCGAATGTGTTTGCATTGGTAATTCTTATTCAAACTACGTACCTGTAAAGAGTACCCCAAATACCCCAAGGAACTGTGTTGGCTCCGACTTTATTCTTATTATCTATTAACGATGTAGTTTCTTGTATTGAAGGTGATTGTCGAATAAAGCTGTTTGCTGACGATAGCAAATTGTACCAAACGAGAGACGAAAATAACAATCCTGAGCTTAAAATATCATTAAAAAAGTTCTCTGATTGGACAGCTTACTGGCAACAATAAATAGCATTCAAAAAATGTTATCACTTATGTTTTGGAAGTAAGTCTTTGACTGTTCATTTGTATTCATTTTGCATGGACACCCCGATAACGACTGTTAACTGTATTGAAGATGTTGGTATTATGGTATCTTCTGACACAAAATTTTCCAAACACTGTTCCTGTATTGCCAAAAAAGCTTACGCCCGTCTATATTTACTTTTCAAAACCTTTATCAGTAACGATTCAAATCTCCTCTTAAAAGCCTACAAAGTCAATGTGCGTCCAATCTTAGAATCTTGCACCCCAGTATGGAGTCCTTACCTTCTTAAAGATATACGTTGCATCGAAAACGTCAGATACTTCAGCAGAATTACCTGTAAAAGATGCCATATTTCTTACACTGATTACGCATCGAGACTATCTGTTTTAAAACTCAATTCTCTTGAACACCGCATAGTCAAATTCGATCTTTTTATGACCTACAAAATTATAAACAATCTTGTCGACCTTTCTTTTTCCGATTTCTTTACATTTTCCAATTCTCATTACCCCACTAGAAGTCATGCGAAAAAATTAGTTTCACGCAATAAATGTACTAACGATACACGTAGATTTTATTTCAGTGAAAGAATTGTAAAAGTAATATATATATATATATATATATATATATATATATATATATATATATATATATATATATATATATATATATATATATATATACATATAACAAAAATCTAAAAAATAAATAAATGAAGTCAATTGGTGGCACACGTGGTCAGATCATTAAGTTTTGAAGGCAATTTCTCAAAAAGTCTTCATCTTTATTAACATAAGTTAAAGTGTTATGAAAAATTGCATTCCCAGGGAAAAAAGTTCTATAGAAGTTCTATAAACTTTTGAAACATATAGCCTATAGAAATTCTATAGAATCTATAGGCCATATGTTTCAAAAGTTTATAGAAATTCTATAGAACTTTTTTTCCTGGTTTCTTGTAACAAATGTCATGAAAATGGTAAACTTTCAGCTCCAACGGAGCTCCAAGTTTGCACGAAAATAAAGACAAAAATTTGAAACGGAAAAACAACAAACTTGCAGCTCTAATCAGTAAAAGTAGAACTGCTAAATCTTTTAGAGATAAACCTTTTAGAGATGTAAGATTCTTAGTTAGATCATTAGTATAAATTAGATGTAATACAGGATCGAGGAAGGATTTTTGAGGCTACCTAGAAATTATTGGAAATTAAAAATGAGCGTTGGCCTTTAGGAAACTTTAAAACTTCGGTTAGAAAGGAATTATTTGTTAATTTTCAAAAGTTTTTCCAGATACGACCTACAATGCGAATTATGGTGAAAACCAGCATGACAGACCACTGACGAAGATATAATTAGATGTGTTTCATTTTTAAAACAAACTTATTCTAAAACAATGTTATGAAATAAGAATTAAAATATTTAGCTAAAGCACACTGGAAAAAAAGTGTATAAGAAGCGACTTAATTCAAATGTACAAGTTATTTAAAAAAATAAATAATATAGAACTAATTAATAATACTTTTGCGTTATATCAGCCTAACACAAGAGGTCATAATTTCAAAATCAGAAGAGAAATTGTTAAAAACTGCAATCTTCGTCACCAATTCTTAACTAATAGTCTCATCAATGTAGAACAAGCCACCTGATTTTATCATTAAAAGCAAAAGCACGAAATTATTTAAAACTTGCATTGATAAATACCTAGAACTATTTGATTTTTAATTCATAGTTTAATTTATTTACTCAGCAAAACTAAACAATGTATATGCTGTCAAAAAGAATTTAATTATTACTAATTTCACTCTTAATTTTCGAACTACTACAGCTTTCTATTATACTATATTAATTTACCAGTTTTCTTAACAATTCTCTTTGTGAGTTGACGAAAAGAACTATTAATACCAAAAGCATATTGAGCAAATCTATATTTGTAGAAATACTCTTAGATACTTAATACTCGGTAGGGGACGTTTATTGACTTTCGAAAAGTTTTCCCACGCACCCTAAGCTTATTAACCCCACACCCCGCTCCCCGTTTAATAAAATTTATCTGATATCAACAAAAACAACATTGTTAAAGCTATAAAAGAAGGTTAGAAAGTGTATTTATATCAATCACAGGTAGGAATAAAAAACTTTCAATGTAATTGGGCTTTAAAAATCGTTGACAACAAAGATTTTCTTTTATTTCTCAACATAAAGTTTATATATGATCATTATATTAGCCACACTAAAATTAAATTGTTTTATTTGTGTTCTGTAAAAAATTTCGACGCACCCATTCATTAACTCCCCCCCCCCCTCTGTTTATTAAATGTGGATTATAATTCCCACCCCTTTCACTGGGTATAAGTGCTGTGACCGGAGCTTCCACCACCTTCCGATTGTGACCGAAATCTCTATAATATATACGATGTTTAATTCTTAATCACACTGATGTAAAATTATTTATGAGAGTTCAGCTTGAAAAGTTTAACTGCTGATTTATAGGTTATAAATTATATTTGAATGGTAAAATATTCTTTTCTATAAAACAATACAATCAATCATTCACCCAATCAAGTTACCTAAACTGTACACGGTGCTGGACTGTACTATAAGGCAAATAAGGCAGCCGCCTAGGGCCTTCAACGTTTAAGCGGCCCCCAAAAAGTTGAAAATGAAGAAATTAAAATTAAAAGTTCATTATCGTGTTTAAAAGGGATTGCAGTGAAATATACAGTACTAACATCAATTTTGTCAGGATTTCCTGTATAAATATTATTAATAAAAATTACTTAAAAATTGAAGAAAAATAAATATATATATATATATTTATATATGTTGGGGGGGGCCTCCACATCCATGTCTGCCTAGAGCCCCAAGTTGCTCTGTCCGGCATTGACTGTACATTAATAAAAGTATAACAAAGCAAGATAAAATGGTATAGAGTCAATGGCGGATTAAGACTTCTTGGGGCCCGGGGGTATTTTTGTTTATGGAGGCCTTTTTATGGCCAGAGCCTAAATATGACTTAAAAAAAAAAGTTCTAAAATTTTTGGGGGCCCCTAAATTTGCGGGGCACGGGGCTATAGCCCCCTTGCCCCTCTTTGATCCGGCACTGTACAGAGTTTTTAGAAGTTAATTTGAAGTAAGCATTCTTGACATACATAAGTAATTGTTACTACTCGTGTTCACTTATCCAATTTAATAATAAAACGTATAGTAATAACATTGATTTTAAAATAATAGTTATAATAGCATAATAATTTCGTGTGTTTATTTAATTGTAGAGTAGAATTTTTTTTATTATTAGAAATTTTAAAATAACTTTGTTTTAAAACAAAAAAAAAAAAAAAAGAAAAACACGTCTCTATAGAGGTTTTAATTTCGAAAAACAAGAAAAACAAGTGCTGTTTGAGATTAAGGCTATATATAATTAGTTTAATTTATTTCATTGCGCAGCGGCCTCGTTTGTTTCCTCATGTTTCGGAGTTAAATGGTTGAGAGAGGAAAGTAACAACAACAATAATATAAATAATAATAAAAAAAACAGTAGCTTCCTCAATCTAGTGACCTTAGGGGAGTTGAATACAATTAAATATTAATAATAATAACATGCTATTATTATTAATATTTCATTGAATTCACAGAGGCCGATGAGGACATTACATTAGATTGCAAATTTAAATATATCAGCGTAAAATCATCAAAAATGTTTGATTTAATTACAAAAAATGTATATGATTTTAAGCTTACAATATATATTAACTTGAAAGCATAAATTAAATATTATTTTTTATATATTGTGCTATAAACATTTGAGATTATAAAAACCAAAATATTTTAAAATAATTTGAGTTGAAAGTTTAACGATATTAACTCGAACACTTTTAAATATAATTTCTTCTTTCTTTTAAACGACAATAAAAAACTAATTTGCTAGAGCTTTTCCTTTTTACAAATAAAGTTTTAATGTTAATGGATTTGAATACTATTCTTTTGAAATATAGCAAACATGTAATGTTTCCTTAGAGAAATAGATGCTCTTTAGGGAATATATCACGTCATGTCTTTAAAAATATTTTTTTGAAAGAATGATAAGTTAAACAACAAACTATTAATAAAATTAGTTTTGTGCAATGATTTTTAGCATTCTTTTTTAATCATAAAAATAAATATTAAAAAAAATAGTGACGCATTATTTTTTTATGAACTCGTTACTAAATTTTTTTTTTTTTTTTAGATTTCCCATTCGTTGTCATGAATCAGTATAGCTGGGATTTTACCCGAAAAACTGATTTAACGCTTTTGGTTCAGGATAGCGAGTTTCATGTGCACCGATTTATTTTGTCGTCTTGCTCGCCTGTGTTTAACGTAATGTTGGAATCTGATAATTTTGTTGAGAAAACTTGCCAAATAATAAAATTACCGAACAAAAAGAAAGAGCATATACAACTAATGCTTAATTTTATTTATCCATTTGGGCATCATATAACAGGTTCCTAATAATTAAATGTATATAAATAGTATACAAAAATTAATAAAATACAAAGTGAAATGTTATTCATTTAAAAACTTGTATTCTGTTTTTTTTAAATTTGTGTTAACTATAGCAAACATATTTTTGCTTTAGAACAAACAGATATAAATTGTTTACTAAACTTATCGCGTGAATATCAAATAAACAAAATTCGTGATTTGTGTGAGAAATATCTTTTACAAAAAATACCAACCGTAGAGCAGTTGATTATTGCGCAAGAATACGGTTTTACATTACTGAAGGAAAAATGTCTTCTACAGCTTTCAGAAAAAGCGTTAGCCTTATTGCAAGACCATCCAAGATACAATGAACTGAGCGAAAGTAACAAACTAAAGCTAGCTGAGCAACATGTTAAGATTTTGCAAACTTATTGTAAAAAAACAGCACAAATTGCACAAGCCTCTGACATGAGGTAAATGTAAGAACTTTTTTATTTTGTTTCACAATCTTTATTTTGAAGCTTATTACTTTTTCCATCTATTTTAGGATTTATAGTTTTTGTCCCGAATACTTTTACTTTTGACATTAAAGTTTTTGCAAAAACTATTAATTAAAACCCTTTTATCACATTAATACACTTTAGATTGTTTTTTTTTTTCTGTTGTTCTAACTTTATTTGTGTTAAAAAGGTATATCCCGATTGCTACACACGTTCAATGCGGTCATAAACCAAAACATAACAACAACCCTCATTTTATTTGTCACTACTGTCGCGCATCTGCACTGAGAGGGTTTATCAAAGATCAATCAAGGAAACTTGGACTTGAAAAGAAACTTGACGAGTTTAAAAAGAGTGAATTAAGCATTTAGTTTTTGTTATGATTTTATTTATATATTTTATATACTGTTTCTTTTAGCAGATTTTTTTACTTCAAATTGTTAAAGTTAATGATGTAAAAACATTATTAACTTTGTTTTTTTAATTTTTATATATAAGTATTTATAAAAATATTTTATGATATTAAATTATTCGTTTTTTAGTTGTATTACTTTTTTATATAATTCCTGGAAACTTTCGACCTAGAAATCTTAAGCAATTGCGTTTAAAGTTTAAGTTGAACACAATTAGGTTAGTCCAACGGCAAAAGCTGTTGGGCCAACTAAAGCAAGTTATGATTGATCTAACTGCATGCCTATTGCAGTTGCATCAGTTAACACAAATATAAGGACGACCGAACAAAAGACCGACTAATCGGAGTTTTCTTTATAAAGTTTACGGTATTATTAGATTTTATTTTCATTCTATTTTTTTAGTTTAAGCTGAATAATTTGCTTGGTCAGAATTTCTTTGATTTTGAAACATACGTTACAAATTTAGATTATCGAATGTAACAAACGAAAAAGTTACATTAATTATGATTTCAAATTGAATTTTTTCCACATTTAGTAAAGATAAAAAATTAAAATATTTTTACTATCAAGTTTTTATCACAGTTGATCGATTGCCATAGTAACGAAGCACGAATCAACGTTGATTGATTAATTGCTTTACTAGAGTAACTCGCCTCCTATACTAGAGTATCATAATATTCATTAAATCTAATTGATAATAATCTTATAACAGATATTTTTAATAAAAAATATTAAAAATATGCAAAAGTGCATTACAAAAAAGCCAACATATTAGACCATTTCCCTATTTTCCTAACAACCAACGCAATATCAATTAACAACTAACGTAATGTTATCTTAAAATTCTAAAGGAAAAATTATAGTAAAGAACGTTTAATTAGAATAATATAAAATCCAATATCAAAGAAGAGTTCTATTATGAAGACCTCGCGGCAAAAATATATTAAATCAGTTTTTGTTATTTTGAGATTTATGTATTTTAAAATAAAAAAATTAACTATTTTTACTAAGTGATTTTAGATGGTCGTTAAACAAAATTCTGTTCACTCATTATGTGTTAACTTATGATATATTGACCCGTGATATGCTAACTCGTGATATGTTAACTCGCGATATGTTAACTCGTAATATGTTAACTCGTGATATGTAGAAAAAAGAAAAAAATATAACCTTGCAACAATGGAAGAGTGGCTAAAGCCTGGCAGATAAAGCAGGTCTAATTACATTTACACTGTGCTTTTAGACTTTGTCTGAGTGTTAGAGGGTTGTTATTCATCAATAGAGGAATGTTAACATTGTTTTTTTGCAGTAGATAAATGAGTTTTGTTGTCTAACAAAAATTGTGCATTTTGATTCCAGAATTTAAATCAACAAGCCACTGCAAGCTTTAGGTTGTTACAGAAGAGAGATGAGATTAAAAGTCGTCACTTTTTGAATGCTTCCAAGCATTCAAAAAGTGACGATTTTTTGTCAAAACAAGAGTATAAAGTTAAGTTGTCAGCAAATAGAGCCACTTTAGATGTAAAATTTTCATGAAAATCGATATTGTAGATAAGAAACTACACAGAAGTGTGCTCTTGTAAAAAAGATTTTAAAAAATGATCAATGTATAATAAAGCAACTGCTCAAAGATGGTGAAAAATGTGGAGTAGAATGAGGCTTAACTTAAAATTAAAAAGAAGAAATAAAAACTTCCAAACTTATATTCCAGAAAGAATAAAAGCTTCTGAGACTTATTTAGATGCTGGCATAGAATATCCTTTCATATTTTTATAAACTTTAGTTTTTATATGGTGTAGTATTTGCCGAAAGAGAAGGTAATCAGATGATATCATGATCATGATTATATAGGGTAATGATGTTTATATATATATATATATATATATATATATATATATATATATATATATATATATATATATATATATATATATATATATATATATATATATATATATAACATGAATTTGAATAAAAAAAATATATTTTTGGATGAACAAATGTATATGTTGCTCTAATCACAAACCCGCCTCCTACCCCGGCTATATTTTATATTTGCATGTTTTGTCTTACCGAAGAAAACTGAAAGTTATTTGCATGTTTTGTCTTATTTAAGAAATCTGAAAGTTATCTGCATGTTTTGTCTTACCTAAGAAAACTGAAAGTTATCTGCATGTTTTGTCTTACCTAAGAAAACTGAAAGTTATCTGCATGTTTTGTCTTATCTAAGAAAACTGAAAGTTATCTGCATGTTTTGTCTTATCTAAGAAAACTGAAAGTTATCTGCATGTTTTGTCTTACCTAAGAAAACTGACGTAAAGTTATCTGCATGTTTTGTCTTAAATGAAACAATAAAAGGATGATGCAAGTGTATTTTAATAGTTTTACTTAAGAAAAGACACGTTGGTAAAGTTGTGACATTTAGCTGCAGCTTAAATATTAAAAAAATCAACATCTTTTATCTGCAAGATATTGAATGCTTATTGGCGCCAAACAGATTTTAATATTCCTATCAAAAATAGCGGACTATATACCTTAGTCTTTTTTTATTTATGATTAATGCTGCTTTGCACCCTATCTACTTTTTACACACAAGCATGGCCGCTTGCAGATAATTTTTGAGTAATAGACATCCGGATGTGTATTTAAAAAATGATAAATTGCAGTGCTCATAATACTGTTTCTGTTTCGCGGAACGCAAGAACCATAACTTGAAGTTCTTAAGCTGTGAATGTGTGGTAAGCACAGAATCTAAAATTTTTAAGATAATCTGTCAGACTAACCTTCAAACCATATACAACAATAAACAGCTTTATCGATGGAAAAATGTGCTGTCATGCTATAAACAGACGGCTTTCTATAATAAAAGAAGTTTTATATCTCAACTTTTTCTTTTTGTTTGTTATGATTATGATGTTGAACTAGCTTACAATCACTTAAAGTACCTTCAGCACTTTTGTTTTTTTAAATTTTGCATTTATCACATCGATAATATACGCATACCTCTTGAGAGTCCAAGTTAACGGGATTTTACTGCATATATAATTATTAAATGTATCTATGTTACAACAAGACCAGAAATGAAGAAGCGTAATTTGCTTCAATTAGGCCGTGATTCTAAACAACGCATTCTGCTGTTTAATAATAAACACTTTAATAATATTGTTGAAGGAGCAACTGTTTCCGAGTCAAACTCAGAGTTGAGTGACAAAAATCTTTTTTGTGAAATATAACGTTTAACGTAATCAGTGAAGCAAGTACCATGTCAAAAACAGTGTCCTCAAATCCTCAACAACATAAGCTATGAGAATTTACCACTACCAAATTACTCGTAAAAACTACAATAGACTGTAAGTCAGAACCCGGTGCAGTAGCTAGGGAAGACTGGGGAAAAACGGGATACTTTAGACTAAATCACAAACAAAATCATAAATACAAATACTTAGTTAAACATTTAATATAGAAACAAAAGTTTACACTATAAGGTACAAACTTTATTATCAAGAATTTAATTTAAAAAATTTTTTATTAATAAAATAAAAACATAACAATAAAATCCCGTTTTGCCCCATTCCTGAGGCAAAATAGGGCTAAAGAAAATTTTCAAAATGTACAACATTTAACATTTATAAAAAATGATCAAAGAGAAAATAATGATAAATGCACTCAAACTGAGTCAAACACACAATTTGCAAACAAATTCTGGCTCTTTTACCCTTTATTCTATGCCAGCAGACGAATAATGTGCCCAGTTACCACAAGCTGTGCAAGCAACCCAGCTTTTCTGGCTCTCCAAATATCTGCCATTGCAGTACAGACACCTTGTTTAGTCCTCTTTATTTTCTACTTTTGTAGTTGTTTTCTTTTTGTGTGCTGTTTTCTTCTCCTTAGCTACAATTAATGAGTTTTTATAAGGGGAAGACGTTAACACTGCTGTTATTCCCCTTTGCCAAGACATTCGTTTTTTGAAGCCCTGCTTTGGAAAAGGAATGATATGCCTAGGAGAAGTAGTAAAAAGGCTAGACAATAATAGAATAGACGTGTTGAGTAATGAAGTTGAAGTGCTGGGTCTTGGTAAAGTTGAAGTGGTAGGTCTTGGTGAAGTTGAAGTGCTGGGTCTTGGTGAAGTTGAAGTGCTGGATCTTGGTGAAGTTGAAGTGCTGGGTATTGGAAGTGTTAAGGTGCCTGGTAATGCTGAAATTGAAGTGTTATATAATGTAGATGTTGAAGTGCTAAGCAATGAAGTGGAAGAGCTGGATAATGTAGAGGTGCTGGGTGCATTGGTACAAGTTGAGGCTGATGTGCTTGGAATGACAGATGTATCCATAAGTAGGTCTGTTGCTTTAGCTGATAAAAAATTAGTATCTGTAAAAATGAACCTGTCTACTGGCCATACTCCAGAATTTTTAAAGCCATTTATGGCATTTTTTATGTTCTCTGCCTCCAAATATGCAGAGCCGAATAGGGTTGCAATCTGAAATTGTGTGACCACTCGCCCAGGGTACTCACAAAGCCATTTTCTCATCGCATGATCATATTGCACGCTAAGTGGCTTCATAAAGGCGTTGGTCCAGGTGTTGCAATCTATGGGTACAATTTGGAGGAAGGCACAGTAATACGACTCTATTTTCCCTAGCCATGTCAATAAGTTCTGGGTTTTTTGTGTTTGTCGCATGACCATCCAAGATCAAAAGCACTTTATTGTCTTTTGTCGCTCCTGAATGAGTAATAAATGTTTAATAAATTTTTTTAAACCAGTTTAGAAAGAGCTCTGACTGTATCCAGTCACTAGGGTGACACTAAGCCCAAGCACCTGGAGGTATCCCATTCATCAACTCTTCCTTCATTCGTTTTCGTAGGAAGATCAGCATCGGTGGCACATAGTTTCCGCTTGCCGAACAGCAAATAATAGCAGTTACAAGCTGCCCTCGCTCTGCAGAGGTGATTGCACCTACTTGTCTTTTCTCTTTGGTGAATATGATTTTAGAAAGAGATTTTGACACAGTGGTCAT